TAGTCTATCCCTCTGTCCGTCTCTCCCGTTCCAAATCTGGAACGAAGAAGAGAGTGACCTTTGTTCCAGATCTCCCTCTCTCTGACGATGGAAGAGTGTGACGTCAATAGAAAAAGGGCAAAGGCGACCGGTGGGTAAGAAAAGAAACAGTTGGCAGGTAGTGAGCGAGAAAAGAAATGGTCGGCGGCGGCGACAACGTTCACCGGAGATGGGAGAGATGAGGAAGGAGAGAGGAAGACGAGAGAAAACGATAGAAAACTCAAACGGTCAAACTCCTTTAACGGTCAACTAACGGATAATGGTCAAATAAATTGAAAGACCATTTAGAATCATTTTTAAAATCTTTAGGACGAAAAGTTCCATTCCTAGATCTAAAGGGGTAAAAGTGTATTTTTTCTTTTAATCTATTTCGAATATGTTTAAAAAATATATTTTTATTTATAATAATTTTATTTTTCAAAAAACCCTCCCGGGCCCTATCTCTCTCCCCCAAACCCTACGCAAGGTTTCAAATGCCCCAAGTGCCCCTCCTCTTCCTTCTCTTTCCCTACGCACTACACACGCCCTCTTCTTTCTCTTTCCTTCACGCAGCGCCGTGCCGCGCCGGTGGCGAACTCCGGCGAGCCACCCACTGCACACAAGCCACATTTTATTTCTCATTTATTCCCTCTCTATCTCAAACCGTGAAATCACCGGCGGTTTTTGGTTCCATCCATTCGGTTTTGAATATTCCATCCATTAGGTGCGATTTTCCTTTTTCAGAGCAAAAAATATACCGCCTCCTTCCTTCCCACCGCCTCCACTTCCGCCGTGACGGCGGGTACAACTATTACCAACCAGTTATTTCCTCTGCCTGCCATGACGACTGCCAAATTTTGCTCCAACACTGAGTTCTATGGCTATTTAGCTAATTCGAACTTGCCGTCTCAGCCGAAATCGATTCCAACCCCCATGTTTCCGTGCGTTCATGCGGCATCCAAATCCAAATGTTTCTACGATGGATCGATTGGGCTTTCAGTGAGCCCCAGAGGAGTTGGAGGCAGAAGATTTGGGAGGATTGGAGCTGCTTCTTCTGTATCGAAGAGMAATTTTAGTGTGGAGGCTAAATCAGGTCTTACGTATAAGGATGCTGGAGTCGACATAGACGCTGGTACAGAGCTTGTGAGAAGAATTGCTAAGATGGCCCCTGGTATTGGCGGCTTTGGGGGTCTTTTTCCTCTAGGTTTGTTCATTTTGAATTTCTAACTATACAACTTGTTTAATGATTCTGAAGTATTTCTGTGACGATTGAGAAGCATAACTTTGGTGGAAATAGAATGTTAATTTTCTTACATGATGGGAACTTGCGGGTCTGATAGAATGTTAATTATTTTTGATGAACAGGTGATTCATATCTTGTAGCTGGCACAGATGGTGTTGGAACCAAACTAAAGCTTGCTTTTGAGACTGGGATTCATGACACTATTGGGATTGATTTGGTAGGCTGTGTTATATGTACGTAAATTATGCATTTTATTGATTAATAATGATCTTACGAATAAGTTTTATCCTAGGTTGCTATGAGTGTCAATGACATTGTTACTTCTGGAGCAAAGCCTCTGTTCTTTCTTGATTACTTTGCTACAAGCCATCTTGATGTTGATCTTGCCGAAAAGGTATAGATGAAAGTTGGAATGAGTTGCTGGGTTGGGTTTCGTTTGTTCGTATGACTCCACATGTTCTATATCACTTATCTTTTCTTTGTGGTTAGGTAATAAAAGGTATTGTGACCGGTTGCCAACAATCTGACTGTGCACTTCTGGGCGGCGAGGTACCAACTACGAATGATTACTTTGTAATTATTATTTGGTCTTGAACATTTTACTGTCCATTGTTATATGGTGCTTAACATCTTGCTGCAAATTTTGGGTTGGAAGTAGTTCTTAGTATTTAGGTTGATGTTCATTCTAAAGTTTCTACTTGACAATGAAGTTCACTAATAACTGATGGTCTATGACTGGAAAACTAAAATAAAGTGGCTGCAAAACAGCATTTGGTTTAAATTTACTTCATTTTTAATAGAAACTTGTTAATTGTAGAACTTGTTTTGAGTTCATACTTCATATTTTAAAAAAGAAATTGTTATAGTTTAAGCTATTGGAAAGATTTTTCTTGTTTTTTCATTATCTTGTTCTTTTCCTAGCAAGTTTTCCAAGTTGTTGAAATCTGAACCAGAAGGCATTTCTTTCCTGTTAGTCTTTCCATGAAACCGTGGTGAATTCCGAATGCTTTTTGTACATTTTTAGACAGCAGAGATGCCAGACTTCTATGCCGATGGTGAATATGATCTCAGCGGTTTTGCGGTGGGCATTGTAAAAAAAGACTCTGTTATTGACGGGAAAAACATCGTGGCTGGAGATCTCCTTATTGGCTTACCTTCAAGTGGAGTCCATTCAAATGGATTCTCTCTCGTTAGAAGGTTGATCGCGATTACCTTCATGCTTTTAGTTGTAAAGGCTTTACTCTCTTAAGATTGATCGTGATTACCGACTCAGGTTTCTGACAACTGCTACCTTGTGTTTATAGGGTCATCGAGCGAAGTGGCCTATCCTTGAAAGACAAACTTCCTGGTGGAGATGTTACATTAGGTGAGGCCTTAATGGCCCCTACTGTGATATATGTCAAACAGGTTATCCTTCAGTCATTCTGTTTTCACAATTGTAGTTTGATTGACATCAAAGTACTACAACTCTTTTTCTATTTTGAACTATAGGTACTTGACATTATCAGTAAGGGAGGGGTTAAGGGGATAGCTCACATCACTGGCGGTGGTTTTACCGATAATATACCTCGAGTTTTTCCCAATGGCCTTGGAGCTGTTATTTATGAGGATTCATGGGAAATCCCAACGGTTTTTAATTGGATTCAAGAGGTAAATGACAACTTTTTTTGTATGTTATTTGTATATCTCTAGGAAATACACATAAACAATGTTAGTGATATCAGCTCGAATGTTCCTTGTTTTTGTTTTCGGTTGTTTATTCTCTATTATCTCGGTAACCTATCAGACGGGAAAAATCGAAGAAATGGAAATGAGACGAACATTCAACATGGGTGTTGGCATGGTTCTTGTAGTGGACCAAGAGGCGTCACAAAGAATACTCAACGACAGCGATGGATCAAACAGAGCTTACCTCATCGGAGAGGTTGCAGATGGCGAAGGCGTAAGATTTTTATAATCTGTGAGTGAAATTTTTGTACCCAAAAGTCTTAGTTTAACAGGATTTTAGCGTTTAACCCACAATGGGTCATAACATTAAAGGAGACGTCTTTATGATAAACGAGTTTCCTTAAGTTGTACCATATTGTGTTGAATAAGTTGATTTGTAATGGCTGTTTCAACATTTTAATAGGTTTTTATGGAAATAAGTTACCAAATTTTTATTTTAAAAAAAGATAAAAACTTCGTGTAAATCATAGGGCCATTTGATAATCATTTTCGTTTTTATACGTTTGTTAACTGTTCTTTTTTTATTTTAAAAAACAGAAAATCATAACGTCTAGTTACCATTTTTAGTTTTTAGTTTTTTTTTTATTTTAAAAAATAGAAAATCATAATGTTTAGTTACCATTTTTAGTTTTTTGTTTTTAAAAATTGAAAATACATATTAGAGAAGGAAAATTCTATGTCGAGTAGAGATGATAATGATGTGGGTGTGAGTGATGATGCTCTTCCTCATTTTCGTGCTCGTAGAAATTTTTAGTCCGTCTCCATCTCATTCTTCAGTCTTAGAGATATTCTTGAGAAAAATTATCGGTTTTATATTTGTTTTTAATTTTTTTTAGAATCTAAGTATAGAAAAAGCAAAATAAATATATATTAATTATTTAAAAATGGAATCTGGGTTGGGATATGTCTTTCCTATTTTTGAAAATACAAATTTAGAGAGATGTAAATAAACGTTTAGAAAATAAATTTTAAAGAGAAATAAAAAAATTTAGAAAGAAATAGTGAAAAAAAGTTGAAGACAAAAAAAAGATAAATTTTAGAGCAAAAAAGTAAGTTGATTTTTAGGGAGAGAAATGAAAGTCAGAAAAACAAATAAAAAATAAAAATAGAGAAAATTTTGGTGAAAATTTTAGAGTGAGAGTGAGAAAAATAAATTTTGTAGAGAGAAATTTAGAAATAAAAAAATTTGAGAGCGAAAATTAGAATAAAAAAATAAAATCTGTTTTTGAAAACTCTTATTTTTTTTAAAAAATTTATATAGAATTTTAAAATGATTTTTGAAAAACAAAAAATAGAAAATTGAATTGGTTAACCAACATTTCTGTTTTTAAAAATCTAAAAACGAAAAACGAAAAAGTTATCAAACGGGCGGGTGCTAAATAATGAGATGAATTAGACATCTTTGGTGGTTGATCTAGGAGTAAAATATTTTGAATTTTGATTCTTATTAATTTTATCACTTTATTTGTGGAACCCAAAAATGAAGGTTCTATTTCATATTTTATTACAGAAGTCATGGGAAAAAAATATTTGTTTATATTTGTTTGTTCATAAAGTCAATTTAATATTTTGAGTCATGCTTTTTAAGTTTATAAATTGCATTCTACATTCATTAGGAAAAAGATTACAATAATTGATCAAAGCCAAAACTCACATTCTTCTTATATAATCATTTTTAATTTTTAATCATCAAGATAGAAATTTAATTTTAAATATTTCAGCAAAAGAGTTATAGGGCATTTTTTTTAATTCTAAGGTAGGAGAGAAAAAATAATAAACAATAAATTTCAAATCATATGTACATAATCGTCTGTGTTTTATTTTTAAAAACGGGTTAAAATGTTTATAGTAAATTTCAAACATTTAAAAAAAAAGTTGGGAGGAAGATCTCTTGTTTTTGAAGACAAAATTCAGATTGAAAATTTTGGATTCGAACCTTAATAAAATAATAATAATAAAAGATTTATATTTTAGATGTCTTTTCAATTTTATGAAAAAAGAAAAGTTCAAAAATAATAGTCATCTATTTTCTTTTAAAGAAATTAAAGATAAATTTTTATCTTTTTATCAAACAAAACATGTCCCCGTAAGATCGAGATCTCTATATCTTTGTGTTTCTATCTTGCTCATCCCAACAAATTTTCTCTCTAAATTTTTTTCTATATCTTCTCTTTCTATAATTATATGCTATTCAGTGTTGTCTCTTTCATTTAAAAAAACAAAAATCTAAAAGTAGTTATCACGTTTCATTTTTTATTTTTTAAATATAGAAAATACTTTGTCAAAACATGTAAGTTTTAAAAATAAAATACATGCAAGTTATTATAAGCCTCGTTCAATAACTATTTCTATTTTAGATTTTAAAATTTTCTATGTTTTTTTCCTCATGAAAATAAAGCCATAGAGTTTCCCATACTGAATCAAGAAAATTAATACCAAAGAAGCGGAAGCGTACTCTTGATCCATAATTGAACGTTCTTGATTGGTGGGTTTGATATTCCAAATCTAGAGAATCACGAATTAACCTTATAGATTGATAGGTTTCACCAGTCCGAAGAAGACGTTTTCTTTTTTTCTCTCTGGAGGGATGAGAGAAGAATCGTCGTGATGTCTCTAACTTGGGGACCATAACCCCTATGTAACCGACCAAATAACTTGAATATTTCCAATTTGGCCCCTCATCAATTTGGAAACTATTTTGTGGTATCTATTCATTTGACACAGGACAATTTATAATTACTCCATTTTACCAAAACATATATATAATTGGATAGTAAAAAATCACATTAAATGATTAAATGTGTGGCCCATATTATTAGAAATTCCAACAATCTCCCACTAGGCCACATATGTAACCTAACAAATGTGTTTGACCTTATGATCTCCAAATATCACTATTGTATGGAGTAAACTTAATTAATCTTGTCCATTAGTTACATAAGTAAGGACCAAAGAAGTATTCGTTACAATTAAATGAAACTAAACCTACCAGTGATCATAAATACCAATATAACTAAATGACACATATATCAAACCATAGATGCATAATATGGAAATTACATAAAATGTGATCTGTACATATCTATTTCCAACTGGTCCTTCCTTACTTTAATGAGATAAAAAGAAAAGACTTTGAGATAAAAAGAAAAGACTTTAACCAAATGAGGCAAAATATAATGAACTTAATCTCTACATTTTCTGATCAGAGTAATTATCCAAACATACATAATATGTATTATGTCCAAATAAAACATAGAATGATGCAAACTCTCACTAACATAATATCCTCGTGTAAAATAACAACCATATGAGCAATATGCTCGTGAAAAACTTTGGGTGGTAATTCCTTTATAAGCAGATTTGCTATCATGGAGCTCGTTCCAATGTCTTCTAGGGATATGTGTCCACTTTGCGCTCTTTCCTTCACAACTAGGAACTTTATGTCTTTAGACTTAGATGAGCTCCTATTGTTATTGGAATAAAGTATAGTCGACTTATTGTCATAATAAATTTTGAGTGGTCTTTCAACACCCTCTAAATTTCTCAATCTCGTGACAAAATTTTGCAATCATATTCCATTATTGAATGCCTCATAACATGCTACAAATTTTGTTGCCATTGTAGAAGAAGGTATGAGCGTCTGTTTGGAACTCGTCGAAGATATAGCTCCACCAGCCAATAGGTAAATATAGCCCGAAGCATATCTTCTACTGTCTTGGCATCTAGCATAATCAGAGTCGGAGTACCTAATGATCTCTAATTGATTCGATCTCTTATATGTGAGCATATAATCTTTTATCATTTGCAAAATCCGGATATAACCCGTTTTGTTGCTATCCAATGATCAATACCAGGGTTACTCAAGTATTTGCCCAACATCCCAACAATGTACGCAATATCCGGATGCGTACATACTTGAGCATACATCAAATATCCTGATGCGTACATACTTGAGCATACATCAAATATCCGAATGCGTACATACTTGAGCATACATCAGACTCCTTACTATAGATAACGAAATCTTGTCCATTTCTTTAACTTCAAGATTGTTTTTAGAGCATTGACTAAGACTGAATTTATCTCGTTTAGCAACAAGGGTGTCACCAGATGTGCAATCTTGCATGCCAAATCTTTTAAGTATCTTATCAATATAGCTTCTTTGTGATAATCCAAGAACACCTCGAGAATGATCTCGATGTATCTGGATTCCTAATACAAAATAAGCATCACCAAGATCTTCAATTTCAAAATTTTTAGATAAAACTTTCTTGGTGTCATGAAACATACATATATCATTAGTGGAAAGCAAAATGTCATCGACATACAAAACTAGAAATATATACTTACTCCCATTTAACTTGTGATATACACAATCATCAATAATATTAATCTTAAAATCAAATGAGATAATAAATTGATGAAATTTTTAATACCACTAACAGGAAGCTTGTTTAAGCCCATAAATGAATTTTGTTAATTTACGAACCAAATTCTTTGGGTCTTCAATCACAAAATTTTCTGGTTGTACTATATAAATTGTCTCATCAATGTTACAATTGAGAAATGATATATTTGTTGGGTGTGTTGTCTTCAACTCGTAGTTTGTAATTAATGTAAAAACAAATTTATATTTAATAAAGTTTTATTCAATCAATTTGTTGTTGAATTCATAGCAATACATCGTCTAAACCCAATAAACTAAACATCCAATGTTATTGTCATATAACCGGGACATTATATATACTGAGTATATATTTGATATACCCTGGATATACAAGCGGTAATGTCTCGGGAATAACCTAAATGGTCTATAGTATATGAATACGGTTGGGTACCTTATCCTGGCAACACTGTGAATACAGCCCACTTTGTAAATGTTACAGATGACCCGATCCAGGTCGTTTGTGTGGAGACATGCGAGTGAGGGTATCCTGTACAATGAGTTTGTATAAGTCCGGACCACGAAAGAGCCAATCTTTAGATGTAACGTCGTTAACTAATAGATTGTTATTTTATAGGATGACTAGCCAACTCATTCTCAATCCTGAGTGAGTTATGGACTCCTGTCCGTGAGGGCTCGTTCTTTGATCTGTATGGGTGAGAGTGGCCGAGTCGCCGACTCAACATTCTCACCATTTTGGAGACAAGACCGAGTGAGGAGTTGGGAACATAACTACACAAGATGAAATTCACTCCTCGTCGACTTTAGGGGAGTAGATGAATGTTCCCTTTAGTGCTGACTCCGGGACTTAAACAAGGGGCCCCACTCTCTCACTAGCCCAAGAGGGACTTCCGATTATTGGTCGGACCTTAACCGAGTTGTTCATTAGAGGATCAGCGGTACTTAAGGTACAAGATGTAACATAGGGGTAAAATGGTAATTTGACCCATCTGTAG